ATCACATGTGCAGGGCACAGCACCTTGGGGACTGCCTGCCATCCACAGATACAAGTGGGGCACATTAAAGACCGAACTCCGCTTGCCTGAGCCTCAGCATCCAGCTCGTGGTGATGGCGAGGCTCCTGCATCTCTTGCTGCCAATTTCCAAATCCTCACTCCATGCAACTTGGTGAGTACCTGGGTATCCAGCCTCACCAGGCTCCAGACAGGTTGGCAGTGAAGGCACAGGGAAGCTCCCTAACAGACTAGTAGTCTCAAATCTCTAGCCAACAAATCAAAGCCAGATTGAGATGCCACTTCCCACTTAAAAGGGCAGCTGAGGCAGAAAAGTGTGGGAAAGACTAGGGAAACAAACTCACATGCATTGCTGGAGGGAAGTCAAGGGTATAGAAATTCTGGGAAACTCTGGCAGTCCCACAAATGTTAAGTACAGAGATTGCTTATGACCCAGTGATTCCACTTCTAGGTCTGTGTACCCAAGATAAGTGAAAACATATGACCATATTAAAACATGTGCATAGTGTTTGTAGAAGCATTATTCACAGAGTAGAAAAATAAACAAAAACCAGCAAACAGTAGCAACTATCAAATGACTGATAAATAAAATATGTGGTATAAGCACGCAGTGATTTTTATTTAGCAATAAAATAGCGAGAAGCATCCCCACATGGACACAGTCAAACACATCATGCTAAGTGAAGGCAGCCAGTCAGAAAAGACCAGATATCGCATGCTTCTTCTTATACTAAGCGTCTAGGATGGGGAAACATGGATAGATAGAAAGTACGTTAGTGGCTGCCTAAGAGTGCCAGGGGTTCGGACACTGGGAAATGGGGATGAAATTTATGGGGTTTCATTATGAGGTGGTGGAAATATCTCTGGTTAAATTCTGTTAATTACTATATTGTATACTAAACCCCACTGAATTATATGTTTTAAATGAGTGAAAATCTGTGTTATGTGAATTATACCTCAATAAAACTTCTTTTAAGGAAAATTTTATTTATGACTTACCATCAGCTTAAATGAGGTCACAAATGGGAAGCTATCCCCAGATGGGGGACACACATATTCGCTAAGTTAATGCTGTACTTTCTGCTATTATAATCATCATTACCGCCAGCCCAGAAAGCCATTCTGTCCAACACTTATTATCAAACAGAACTTTTTAACCCTCCTTTTTCACCTTTAAACTGCTTGCCATTTTGCATGCTAGAAAGCACCCACTGGGCTACACACATTTACGTGCTTGTGAGCAGTGATCACGGCAGATAGGTGATGTTAATTTTGAAGGGACGTAATAGATACTGCTTGTCTCTCCTCTGTTTGTGAGTGTCAAGTTTCACTGTGCAGACTGAGCATGGACTTGATTGTTTTGGACATTCTCACCCAACCAAGGAACTTCTCTGGGCTCTCCCCAAGTCTGTTTCTCCTACTTTCACTGCACTGTAGTGAAATCAGTTCCCTGCTTCTCTCCCCAAGCACTGTTTCCTGGAGCACAGGCCTGGTGGGCTCTGGTAACATGTAACTCTGGAGCTCACTCCTAATTTGCAGCATTACTGTGAACATAAATTCTAAAGGCTCTTTGCCTTTCTTCTTTATAGATAATTAGAAATAATAAGTAGGACAATGCCACCAACGAATTGTCAGTGTTCCCAAACTAAAACTGACCATCAGGGAGTTAGGAAATCTATACATGGCTTTGGAAATTGTGTGGTCTCACAGATACGACTGTTTCAGTTCAATGATGCAAGACATACACTTTTTATGTTGAGATTTTAATTGAGCCCCCGCCCCAGCCTTGTGTATTCAAAGGTTGCCCTTCTGGAAAGTGACTGGATCACAGAGGCTGTTTCATCAGCGAATGATTTATGATGAGTTCATGCTGAGCAGGGCTTGGTTGGAGGAAGCCCTGGGGGCGTGACTAGGGGCACGTGCTATGCTTTCTCTCTTCCCTCCTTCCTCTGCTTACTAGCTGCCAGCAGGAGAGTGGCTTTCCTCCACTGTGCCCTACTACGCCATGCCTGCTGTTTCGCCTTGAGCTGGCTGAACGTGAACTGAGCCGAATGAAGCGTGAGCCAAATTGAACCTCTCCTCCTTCCAGCTGTGAGTGTCCTGTGTTCTGTCCAGCACGGGCAGCTGACACCCAGAAGTGATGCCTTTTTAAAGTTAAAAGTAAAGTTCTCATCTCAGGGAGAAAATGAACCTTTTCCCACTAGACGGGATCCCGTCTTTCCCACGCTCTCCCTGGGGTTCTGCCAAAGTGCACAGCTGAGAACCACAACGTCTGAGTACGCACCTACACACCATCCCCTTTCTAACAAAGCTCTCAAGCTCGCTCTCGGGGAAAGACGTCACTCAAGGGTAGCTTGGAACCGGCTTTTGAAGAATGGAAATGGGCACAAGAAATTTGCTTTTCCCATCTGTGACCTTTTGATGTCGCCAACTCAGAGTCCCCGAGACAAATGGGACCTGTGAAGAGGGAGGACCGCTGTCCACACCTGGGCAAAAGAATCCCAAACCCTCCGCTCCTTCCACACCCCAGCACGTCTGCCCGGGTCTTCCTGTAAGCCCATCGCTACCCACCAGTCCTGCAGGGATCTGCACTCAGAGCTCCGTCCTCCTCGCAGGCCAACTCTGCGGAGAAGCCTCGTTCATTTGCAAAACCCTGATGCTCGTGAGGCAGCGCTCTATACCCAGAATGGAACGGAAGCTCCCACGGACTTCTGATGCCCGTGAGAGAACCCGGTCAGTGGAGTCCAGCCTGTGGGAGCTCCGGGGAGCCAGGCCGTGGCTTCCACGGTACAGCACTGGTCTGCACTTGTGAGGCTCTGGACAGCATACAAACAACATCAGAGACAAAAACAGAAAATTAACAAGAACCAAAAAAATGGGGCTGGGGATTTAGCTCAGTGGTTCGGTGGCCTGCCTTGCAAGCGCAAGGACTGGAGTTCAATCCCCGGTACTGAAAAAAAAACCTCAATTGAGATCGTTTTAGATCTCAGTTAGAATCTCAGAGCCAACATTGACAATAGTGAGAGAAAGGAGCTATCCCCACTGTAAAAGGCACACGATGTTTCTGTGTAGGTTAGGAGATTTACAGGATGAAGAATGGGGTCTTCAGGGAAGAAATAACGGACATGACAGCCACTTAAGGACCCCATTCAACACTGTCAGTACCTGGCTCCAGATAGAGGGCTTTGATTTTTCCTTTCTCTGTAAAACATCCTTGAGTTGCTTCTCTTGGGACAAATGCCCCCAAACCTCTTACTCCGAAGGCTACTTAGGTCATTTTTGTAATGACCATTTGCAGATAAAATAACAGATAAAATAAGGAAGCTAGAATTTGTGTATCTGAAGGACTGATTCAAATTTCTATCCCCATGACCACGATAGCAGAGTCCACTGTCTATTGCCCAGAGGAGCCTCGTGTTTTCGCTCTGCTCCGTTCCCTTCTCTTTCACATAATTGTACACTTACAACTTCTGCTGTTAACTCCCACAAGTTCAATGACAGCCAGACATCCTGAGCTGCTGCCAGCTAATGCATTTCGCGGGATGGATTCCAGGACTCTGCCACTGTAGGAGGCCACCAGGGTCTTCCCTGGGCTTCCACACCTGCCGCGTAGTGGGCAGCGCCTTGCCAGGCTCTATAGACAAATCCAATACCAGACTTGGAGAGGACAGGCACGCCTGCTGCCACACAGATGGCACTGTGCCTGTCTGCAGCTTTTGTGGAAGAAGCCAAGGAAGAGATATCTTAATTTAGTACTTTGCCTGAAGTGTTTTCGTGCACTCACTTCAAAAGACTTGTTTTTCCCCCATAGGAAATTGGGGAAGGGAATCAGCACATTTCCTGCATGGTCAAAAGGGCACCAAATGTCACCCTGCAATCTGTGTCCCTTCGGCAAGCAAAATCCCTTTATAAAACTAAACAGAAGTGAGATCAACTCATATAAAATTCCTTCAAAAAAGAATATTACTGCAGCTCTTTCAAATATTGTTAAAAGATTCAGTGCTTGCATATATTTATTTTAAGGAAGTGCTTAGAAATGAGCCTTCACCATCTAATGTCCTCACACCCATGCCATAGGAGCTGTGGATCTGGAAGGTCTCCAAAGAGGAAGGGAAATGTGAGACAGGCTGGGAGCATTTTTTAGAGATGCCATCAAGGCCCGCAGACCTATCTGAAGGACCGTCAACGTCGGTAAGACCTGGAAGTATTCCAACCACATATTTTCACCCTGCTGAGCTATGCCATGCTCATGCGGGTCTGTGATTAATTTGTGGTCAATGATCTAAGTATCTCTTAAGCCTCCCCGCTAAAAATATGGAAATACTTTAAGAAAAGGAAGGAAAAGTGAATGCACTGAGATTTCCATTTGCATGAAAGCTCAGTTTAGCCCTTTGCTCTTCACTCTGGGGTCCTTGAAGAGCAGGCACCTGAGAAATTTCAGCTTCGGAGAGTGTCTGAATCAGATGTTCAGAGAGCGGGAAATGAACCAACAGGTGAATAGGCGCCCTAGCAGGGGTGAGGGCCCTCATTTGCGTCACCTTGATCGGAATGAGAGAAACCAGGTACTCAGCGTCTCAAACATCTGATCAAGTAATGGACACAGCCTCTCCAGCAAGTGCTCTGAGCGCAGTGAAGACATTTCCCCGACTCCCACACTGGATGACTAAAATAAGTGGGAGCATTTATGTTGCTGATTCAGGCCTGGCCACGAGCTCTCCTGTGCATGTTTCAAACAGCAGTGCCCTTGCATGGTTCTTCTAGAACGGCAGCCAGAGTGGGTGGGCTGCTGCTCCCAAACAGGCCTAGGTAGGCAGTGCCGGACACTGGAAAGTTACTCTGCAACCCTTCACCTGTTTTTATAGATCACAGACACGCCCGGCAATACTAGAACTGAAGATATTTTGAGAGAAACCCCTGGCGAGCCCCTCCTTCCCCTTCAGATCACCACCCCACTCCCAGCGACAAGAGCCATCTGTACTCACCAAACCTTGGCAGGTGGACAGGGCCACCGAGGCGTTCCTGTGGGCCCGCAAGGAGCCCTGGTAGAAACAGAAGTCCTCTGGCGGGAAGGAATGCACAGACTTGGTACCTCCTCTCCCCAGTGTCTGCACCACGAACCCAGGAGCCACGAGGCCACTGGAGGCCATCAGGTCCATGTGGAAGTCGTGCCTGTCGCCCTTGACCCGGAGGTGCAGGGCATCCCCGCCCTGCTGGGCCACCTCTCTCCTCCGCCGCTGGTGATGCATGATCTCGTGGGACACATAGTCTCCCCTGTGGTCGACCTCGAAGGCAGACACCAGGTCATACTCTGAAACCAAAGCAAAGGAAAGCAGCTGAGTAACCCCGGGTTCTGAAGAATCAGGAGTCTTACAATACAAGAGTACTTGACCATTTCCACCCAGGAAGAATCCGTGGAGGAAAATTCAGCAGACACCCAGCAACACACTGAAACGATGGGGTCGACACGGTCAGAGAGCAAAGGGGACATCTCCAGGGCACCATCGGGCAAATAGCCAGTGCCCCTCTAATGTCTTATTACCATCCCAGCAACTACGACACTCAAAAGACAAAAGGAAACCAGAGGACAAATTGGTCTTTCAAGATTATATTTTATCAATCTTATTGATGGAGCAACAGTCCCATGTAACAACTTCTGTAGTGCGGAAACACACCTTTACTCACATTCTCTGACTTTTTTTTTTATAAACATCTTCATCAAAATGAAGAAATTCTAATGTAATCTTATTAGAATCTTATGCATTGTTGCAGATTATTCACACTAGGTAGGGGAAGAACAAAAAGGGAAAAGAAAAAAATATGAGAGAATGAAAAGATGAAAATAAAGTGTTTGTAGATGGGGAGGGGAGGAGGGGGTGAGGGGAGGGCAGAGGTAAGGGGAAAAAATGAGAATCAAGACTTCCCATGTAGAGGTACATGATCCCAACAATGAATGTAACTGTACTGTATGCGTAAAATGTACCAATAAACTCAATAAAATAAAATAAAAAATGAAGAAATTCTAGCTGAAAAGTACCTTCATTTTTCAGAAGACATTTGAAAAGAAAAATGTGATGAGCAGCTTTTGCTGCTCGGTTATTTAATCATTAAGTCACTGAATGGAACATAGAGGGAAAGGTGCAGACTGCAGACACATTCTAGGATTCCCAGATGCTAGCACGGAAAAGCTCATGTGTGTGTGTGCGTGTGCGTGTGTGCGCGTGTGGTGCACACTCAGGACCACAGTGGACCTCCCCCTGGCTGGGCTTCCTCTGGCATCCACCTGGGTCCTTGTGACTTGCTTGGATTTCACACTCCAAAGCTTTTCCCAGAGCAGCGTCACACAGTGATTCGGAGTGCACTGGTCTACAACACACTCAAGTAAACCGATTCTATTTAAAAAGACAGAGAAAGCCCAGATTGGCTCAGATTTCAGATGTATCCCACAGGGATCCTACCAAGGACCTCCTAGTGCCACATCCAGAATCCACACCCCTCTGCAGAAGGCTCAGGGTGAGTCCTTCCTTTTCTTCCTCAAAGGGCCATCTGCCTCTGAGACATTTACCTTTTCTTCTCACCTTACAGCCAGGCTTTGTTCACTCTCAACCACCATCAGCAACATCCTCTCCACCCCCAGCATACAGGGAGGTTGTTTGTTTCCATGGGTGGAAGGGGAAGGGGGGGTGGGGTCCATCTCCTGAGTTGCGCTTTCTCATCTCAGCGCTAGAGTTTTGAGCTCTGCATGGCTCAGCGAGAGGTTTGATAGCTCGATTTATATGTTTTAAATCCTGAGGCCCAGGGTAGGAGTGCCTCCAGTTGCTTGTGAGTGCTGGGCCTGCACAAGCCAAGAGAGGACCTGCTTGCTTGCCTGTCCTCTTCCGAATCCCAAAGAAACAAAGTTCAGTGTGATGCGGGCCTTGCTCCAGCCTCACTGCATGGTGTTGCTTGGAGAGGACATGAGGCCAGGCATGGAATAGGCTGGAGTGACCTCGCCTGAACTCCAAGTGGACGTAGCTCCAGGCCCAAACCACAGCTCTCCTCACATCTGCATCTCCGACAGGAGCCCAGCTCTGCAATGTTCTGTGGGCACCCGCACTTTCCCCTGGTTCCCCACGTGTGCTCTCAGAGCTCGGTACTACAGCTGCTGAGTAACTGGGCCTCTTCTCCGCTTTGGTCTGATCGAACACTTCGGGGATTGTAAGATAAAATAAAACAAGCTACTTCTGCAAAGGGGCACTTAGTCATATGGCAATGCTCAGGATATGGCTATGATTAAGCCAGTAGTAGTAGTACTAGTGGTAGTAGTAGGGCTATTATCGTCTTTGGAAAAAGAAGAGTTTCTTCACAGCTAAAACAGCTCAGACACTGGTCCACCTCACCTGCTGTCCTGGCAGATGATTCCATACTGACCAGGAGCTGGTGGGCAGCAGCCCATGGGCTGGAAGAAAAGGTGCGTTCAGGTTTGGGGGAGACAGAGGAGGGAGCCGTGGGTAGCAGGGCAATGACTGGAGAGCCCTGGGAAAGTGAGGACCAGGCCGGGAAGCCATGGCCCTGGCCCAGCATGTCCTCCTCTCAGACCCAGAACCTGAGGCCCTCCTTCCAGTCCGGAGCTGAACTTAGTGCTGCTGGGTCCTATGGGTATGAACTCAGCCCAGCCTGCTGAGTGTAAGGTAGTGGGGTGCACATCCTGACCACAACCACCGAGGTCTGTGTCAGGTCAGGCAGCGCGTGGTCACGGTGCCAGGTTCCACACAGGCAATGAGAAAGCCAGACAGATCTGTCTGAAGTGCAGACATGGGGGGAAGGCAGGAGACACGAGGAGCCAGTGCGTGGTGTGGTATGAGTGCGCAGGGCCCCTGGCTGTCTTCCTGCCTCTCCGAGGGGGACAGGGAGATTTCTGTCCTTGTCCTCCCTGTTCTCTGGACTGGTGGGGCAGCCAGCTTGAGGTTCTTGGAGAACACTGCTCTTCCTCTGGGTCCTGGGGACAGTCTCTGACTCCTCAGCGTGGTGGGGTGACAGCAGGAAGCTCATGGATGAAGCAGCAAGCTTCACTGCACATAAAGAGGTGGTTGCTCTTAAAAAGTGACAGGAGCGGCATCTCACAGCCCTTACTTTTGAGGGCAGATAATATTCACTCGTTTGCGGGGAGCAATATTTTTCCCGCACGATGATAATGTCTGATAAATCTGTCTCACAAACACAGTGCTGTGCAGATCGATATTTGACAACCAGCTCCCCAGGGAGGTGACATGGAAGGACACGGCCGGGGAAGAGACAAGCACTCGAGGCTGATGACGCTGCAGCAGACACTTGGCACTGTCTGGAGAGGTGTTCGGTCGTCACAAGGGGAGAGGGATGAGGACATCCTGGAATCCAGTGTCCTGCTGTCTCAGGAGAGCCCAGAATGTCACTGCCACCCTGGGGAGGCTGAGGCAAGACACTTACCCAAGAATGAGATCTGAGCAAATGACCGCGAGACAGGGTCAGAGCTGAAGAATCCAGGGAACGAACTAACTACGTCTTCACTCTCACCACACTGAATACCCACAGAGAGGTCAAGGTACAAGGGCAACAAACTGAAACACCGAAACTAACGGCAAGCTTCTGTTTTCGGATTATAATCCGCCAGACCAAGGGCTTGTGAAGTAAAAAACAGTGAAATTCCTGGTGTGTGAGAGCCCTTTAAACAAGGCCGAAGCCCCATGGAGAGTTTGCAGTGAGAAAAACATCATGGATGGCGTTCGGCTCCGTACCCGACCTGTTCAGCCTCGAGGTACAGCCCCACCAGCCGGCACACTGGGCCAGCGGAGCCGGCTTTGGGGGGCCGAGGTGGCTGGAAACTGCTGCTGGAGAGGCAGAATGGGCCGGATGGGGTGTTCACACCTCAAGAAGCAGGGCGTGGGATGGAGCACGGAGCCTCCTGCGCCCCACCAGGAAAGCCTGTGGGCACAGTGCTGTCTGTAGATATCTGGATATAAATCACTGTATCCTACACACACACACACACACACACACACACACACACACTCACCCTCCACAAGTCCTTTGCGTCTAGTTAAAGTTCTGAAGAGTTTCTATCCTTGCACTGAACTTACTTTGAAATTTCAAAAGTTAAATCTGTACTATGTCTTTGGCTTCGGAGGAGCCACTGTTTTTATTACAAAGATGGATCTGTAGGAAAAGCAAATCTTAAGTTTCCCATAAAGAACACGAAGTAATGCTGAATCAGCAACATCACACACACACACACACACACACACACACACACACACACACACCCGCCAGGCGCAGAGCTAAACTACTCCTCAAGTAGTTACCTCATTGCCTGTAAGGGTGTGAGGAGTTCTCAGAGACGCAGCAAACCTGCAGTGATCATGCAAGTGTTACTGGGAACCATCCTGACCCCAAAGTTGCTGCAAAACCAGCTCATATCAGGGGTGCTGGCCTCCAACAGTGAGCACACCCCACAGTGATGCTGGCCTGGGTACCTAAGATCTAAAGGACAGTCCTGCTGGGCAGGTCCTGTCGGTGTGGGAACAGCCCCTACGTGCTTTCCCACAGGTAAGGGGCAGGGCGGAGAGGAGCTTGAGGCTGTCATGGCCGTGACACAGCCTGGGACCCAGCAGAGATGCCAGCTGAGAGAGGGGCTCCCAGAGCACAGGTAGGGCCGGCCCTGCCCTCGGCAGGAATCTGTGGCTTTTCTTCCTGAAGGTAACGTCTGTAATGTTCTGAACCTATGCAAAATTTCCTCCGTGCTACAGAGTTAAGATTTTCTGAGCCCCTCTGGAATTCTCTTGATTTTATTCTAAAAGTAGACCCTCTTATAGCCTTAAAGTGAGTGGGTTATTACGCTGCACTGTAACGGAGGGGTTAAGGGGGGGCAGCAACAAGCAAGGGAATTTTAAATCCACAGGTAAGTAGCTTCCTCTTACAACCAATACACAGCCAAGATAGTTTTTGAATGTTCTCTGCCGTTTGCATCTGGCGCCCTCTGGCGGTGCTCAAGGCGGCCTAGCCCCAGTCACTCCTCACACCACCTGGGAGAGTTTCAAACTAGCGCACACCCTCATCCTCCCGTCAGCCTGTGGAGAGGAGCGAACCATACATCAAGGAGCTGTGAATTCTTCACATTTCAGTTTGGAGGGTTTTCCGCCGCGCTGCAGTTCTTCCCGTAAGCGTCAGGGCCGCTAACATCGCAGGCGGGACCCACCGTGGGAAAACACGCAGAGCAGTAACAGACACCGGAACGGCCCGCGGACTGGGCCGAGACTAAAATCCGAGCTACTGCTTTCTCTGACCCGGCGCGGCGCAGTCCTGGCCCACGGCCGCGGGCGCACGGGGCTGGGAGGGGTGGGTCTCACCCCAAGGGACACGCGCTCTGCCCGCGGTGCGGCCCGCGAGCCCCTGCCCTCCCTCCCCACGCACCCTATGTCTCCACCTCGCGCAGCTCTTCAAGAGCCTTAACCCGATCCCGGATAGGCGCCCGAGGAGCAGACGCCGGGCCGTGTGTGCTGCCCTTGGAGTCCGCGGTCCACGATTTCAGGGGAAACAGCGCAGGACGCAGGCGGGGATCCAGGCGCGCAGCGACGCGTCTAAAGCCCAGATTCGCCCTAGGTCCCGAAAGCTTTACAGAGGAGATGCGCTCCCTCCCGGACTTCCCCCACAACCTTGCAAACTGTCACCGCTTCCGGGCAAGCGGCGGCGGGGCGGGGC